GCGTGTGTGTGTGTGTGTGTGTGTGTGTGTGTGTGTGTGTGTGTGTGTGTGTGTGTGTGTGTGTGTGTGTGTGTGTGTGTGTGTTTGTGTGTGTGTGTTTGTGTGTGTCTTTGTGTGTGTCTTTGTGTGTGTTTGTGTGTTTGTGTGTGCTTGTGTGTTTGTGTGTGTCTTTGTGTGTGTGTGGTTGTGTGTGTTTGTGTGTTTGTGTGTGTTTGTGTGTGTGAGAAGCCAAACGACAGTGCGTGGGGAGACCAGGGAAACACTCTTGATTTTGAAGCTGAATCGAAGCTGGCTTCAAGATCGTTTGTAACGTGAGCACAGGCATCATCCTTTTCCAGCTAGTCTAGTGTTGGGAAAGGCTGTTCTAACTACAGTAAAACAAATTCCTCTGGGGAGCGCACTGGGAAGAGGCTGGAGAGGTGGCACGGGAAGTCTCTGGAGAGTCCTGAGATGTGTGCAGCATTGACTTTGGCATGTCTCAGTGTCAGCCCAACACACTTGATGCACAGAGACCCGCACGGGCAAGCACAAATTCAGGCTGCCGGTCACCTCCTCCTGATTTTGTTTGCAAAGGCTGGCGCAACTCATGGACCAGCCAGAATCGCATGCACGTGCAACAGCATGGGTTGTTCAGTCAAAGAAATCCTCGAGCAATTGCAAAAACAGCGTCTCATTCGAGGAAGCCTGCGGAAGATGACAAGCAAGCACAGGTAAGTCCAAATCAAGTGCACCGAGATGGAGGAACAGCTTGCACCAGTGCCTCCTGCGAAATGGTCAGCCCTGTCCGGCCCACCTTGGCCCATAACACAAGATGCAAAGGCATGCGAGTTTCCCGCTCTTCTGGCGAATGAATGAATCGGAGGTAAAAAGCTATGGACTAAGGACAAGAACATAGGAAAGCCCGCATGCCAGCCTCCAGCGAAGCAAGTGGCGAGGAGCTCGCAGCGCGGGTGGCATTGGCGCCTCGATGCTTCGAGTCTTTGCTTCGAATCCCTGTTGCAGATTTGTTGCACGTGCTGATCATGAATCGCACTGAGGTCAGCTCTGACTGTGCGCATGCCCGCGGAACATGGAGTTTGCTCCCGTGAAAGCATATTCCTGGCATCGCTTTGCAAGCAGCAGAGGCGAGAGCAAAATAAGTATCTTCTAAGCATTAATATCCTAAACCTTTTGCTGAAGCTGCAAAATGTAGGCACTCATATTCTAAATTGATCAGAATTGTGGAACCAATGTCTGTGCCAGCAAGTCTTGCAGGGCACAAATCGTGGGCGGCGACCCGAGCTGCAGCTGTTAAGAGTCGTAAGCGGCAAGCAAGGTCCTCGAGGTGGATGCTTTCTGCTGGGTGGCTGTCTGTGCTGAAGGCAGCCTCAGGAATGGATTTGATGCACTCAGCCCATCACTGAGTCTGTGAATCTGGCGGGGTTGACAACAGGGTGCTCGGAGCTTCGTGCAGCATCTGCTGGATGTCCTGGCTTGAGCTGCAGAGGCAGCTTGGAAGGCAGTGTCGAAGCCAAACGTAGGTCCTGCTCTGCTGCCTCCTCTGCACGTCCTTGCTCCTGGTCACACAACATGCAAGAACCCAAAAATAACCAAATGATTAAGCAGAACTTCGGGTCTGCCAATGACTTGCTTTCCCACCTCCAGGGCCTCTTGCACCACCTCGTCATCTGTGTCCGGATCCTGACACTGCAACGTCTGCTATATCTTCTCATACTTCCCCTCACAGGCATGAAAACATGAAGAAAGCTTGAACACACCGTCTGCAACGGTGCATGTCCGTACTCCACATATTGCTCAGTCGCTCACCTCCAACCCATCGCGGTCCAAGCCTTGAATGCCCAAGGCTTTACGGGCTATCAAGAAAGGCCCTCTTTGTTTGCCTTCCACACCAAGCGCCGGACGTGGCTGCATTGTCGTCCTCGGATTCAGCCTGGGATGCTATACGGATGGGCAAAAACATGTCCATTCGAATACCACCTTTGCATTCTCTCGAGCTCATGCCAGTCGAGCAGTGCGGCTGCTTGCTCCGCCGACGGTCATACCGCAGTCTTTGCTTTATTGCAGGGGGCAAGCTGCCCGTCCTACATCTCAATCATCGCTTTCAAAGGCAGGCTGGCGCGGTTGGCAGGCAGAGCCAGTGCCAGCTTGCTTTTGCACGGTGATCAGAGATTGGTGGCTGAAAAGGAGCAAGGAAAGCGAACTGTGGTGTCTCTGCCCTGCTTTCTGGCCCAAGCTGAAAAAACACTTTCGTTGATTTTTCAGTGCGGCAAGCTGCTTGTCCCCACTAGTCAGTACATCCCAATCTTCAATGCCGGCCAGCTTGGACCATGCCAAAGAAGCCAATTTGTTCAGGCATTGCTTTTCGTCAGCCCAAGAAAGCGAGTTCAATTTGATGTTCTATAAAACTGCCGTTTCGTTGTTCTTACTTAAAACTATTGACACTATGTCCACTACAGTTGTACTTGTTGAACAGGTACTACTTAGCACCCTTGTCACAAGTGGCTCAAGTGGCTCAAATGGCTCAAGTAGCCTTGCGGAGCCAAGGCAGCTCTCGGCAAGCGAGCCAAGCTGCAGGCAAACAGCCCAAGAGCCCCGCCCCAAGTCGTTCATCATGGCTTCGAGCATTGACCATGCCCTCG